GGATCAGGACATTTCTTTGTTAAACCCTCTCTGCCCAAGTAGGCTCAGATCCCTCACCTTCCTCTAAATAAAAGGGTAGGCTTCAATAATCATCAGTATCATGACAGTCACCAAGGCTTCAGTTCCTTACCCTTTTTCTCTTGCCCATGCTCCTCAAAGATGTAAGGCCTCGAGGGCCTGGAATTTGAAGCATAATCACTGGAGTTGGGTAACACATGGAACAATTGGGAGACAGAAACTTACATTTATAGAGAACCTGATGTACATTAGAAGTTTTGTCAATAACTTTACGATTGGTGTCTTACTAAGATCCTCAAAGTGTGGGGAAAAAAAAAACAAATACAAAAACAAAAACAAGTGTTCTTAAGAGTAGGGAGAACTGCTGGGCGTTCGTGCCACACATCTTTGATCCCAGCACTCGGGAGGCAGAGGCAGGTGAATCTCTGTGAGTTCGAGGCCAGCCTGGTCTCCAGAGCGAGTGCCAGGATAGGCTCCAAAGCTACACAGAGAAACCCTGTCTTGAAAAACCAAAAACACAAACAAACAAACAAACAAAAGAGTAGGGTGATCTCATCAGACCAAGCCAATAGACAGAACTCAGATAGATGGATAGATAAGTACACAGGCAAGCACAGGCAAGCAAGCAGGCAGACAGACACAAATAAGGGCAGTTCAGTGCTCAGGTAGAATCGTAGGGTGAAAACAGATGCCAAAATTCAATGTCAACAGGTTTAAGAATATCCTGGCAATTCTCCTTTTCTTTCCAAAATTGTCAAATTATCTAATATAATGTTCCTCCTTTTACATGGATTTACTAAGAGTTAAAAGGAGGGCAACAAGTATCTATATGAATATATCTGTTCTAACTGGCTGCTGTGACTCTCATTGTGCATGAATAAACTATTGTTCCATTTCAAACAGAACTATAACACAAATTTGCTAATGTATTTCATTTTCTAATTCTAGTGATGACTAGGCCCAGTATTTTTGGTTCTTCTTTAATCATGAAAATGCCAAACTCATGTTCCGGGATCAAAGTGGAGCTGACTGTGGTAATAACTCGAGACTGCAATACAAGATACATGATAAGTATTCTGTGTGAGTGATCGATAAAGGAAAGTATCATTTCCATTTATTTTGTCTCTTGTTGACACACAATAGTGGTCACAGTTATGATCCTTTTAAAATGGATTGGAGAAAGGCTGTTAGGAAATGAACTGAGCACTCCCCCCACCCCCATGATATTTTTCTGTTGACTAAATTTGGTCCATTTTTCAGAGTTTAATGTCTTGGCTGGTTGAAATGTAGGATCCAAGAGCCTGACTAACACATTCCAGAATTAAATCTATCATTTGTCAATGTGCCCAATCTTGCTGAACTTGATCAGTTTGAAATGCTTTCACAAAAGAGGCCTTATAATACCTTGAAGACCAGAATCTTAACTGTGTTGAAACAGCAAAAGTAATTTTATTTTTATGTTGCCAGCTGGATATAGACACAGTCTTCTTAAAGGATACCTGTACCATTTTTGTCTAAACTATAACCCCCAAAACACATCCTATGCAGCAGGAAATTACTTGTGTCATTGGCATAAGGTAGATAAATCCTCTGCCAGTTTTCAATTTCTCAAATGTATTGAACATTACTAGCTGTTCTGCTCTTACTGATGTCATAGAGGTGAAAATTCAAAAGTATGTAAATTATTGTTGCTAATTCATCTTTTAGAGTGCATAACTGAGATAATAAGCTTTATGTGTGTATTTATGTGCTACATCCAGCTGAAATACAAATTTTCCTCACACATGCCATGGGGACAGACTTTCTTTACTACAACTATTGAACTATGTGCCATTTTGTAGACATCTAACAGGTTCTACAATTGTCAATCTTACGGTATCGGGAATTGTTTATCCAAAATGCAAAGCATTCCATTGCCATCAGTTTCTAGAAAGGTAGTAGTGGTTAAAGTGCTTGTAGATTCATTCTACATGTATACTCTGAAACACTGTAAAGAACACCCTAGTGGCGGTCTCATACTGTTAACTGGTAAAGTAGACCACTGACTGGGTGCTGCTGGATGGTGCACCCCACACTGTCACAGTAGAACTCTGGTAAATGTAGGAATTCTAAGTTAAGACTTGTGTTCCCCCTTGTCATTACAGCTAAGTATTTTTATGGCATATGATTTTTTTAAAAAAATAATTGTATTCATTTTTGCATAACAAGCACAGTTCTCCCTACCTCCCCTCCTTCTACTTCCTACCTTCTCCTGCTCCCCTACTCCCATCCCCATCCACTCCTCAAAAAGTGCAAGGCCTCCCATGGGGAGTCAACAAAGACAAATCAATTTGAGGCAGGACCAGGCCACTCCTCGCTGCTTCATGGTTGAGCAAGGCATCCCACCACAGGGCTCAAAAAAGCCAGCTCATGCACCAGAGACAAATCCTGGTCTTACTGCCAGGAGCTCAACAAACAGACCAAGCCACATAACTGTTGCCCACTTGCAGAGGGCCTAGTTCGGTCTCATGCAGGCTCCCCAGCTGTCGGGATCCAGAGTTCATGAGTACAGCAAAGTTTTGTAAATAGGTATGCGTTCTGTGTTTCCCAGCTTTGTATATTTCTTGTAAATCCGGAGACATGTAGGCCATGCTGTATGTGGGTGTGTGCTCAGATTCCAATTCTAACCTATGTGAAGCTTATTGAACTTAGCCACAGCCCTACTGAAGTCTTCACCTCCAGTTTCTGGAGAACTATGTTTTATACATGGTGCAGTAATCTTAAGTTTTTCATACCATTTCAAACATTATATTTAATATCTTTGTCATTTTGCTTATATGCCGTATCTAATTGAGATATTCTTTACAACTTTCCCAGTTAATTCCTTAATTTCTTAATAGAAATCTTATAACCTACCACCTCCAATCTAGTAATTTTTTCTAACTTCATATATCCATTTTTTCCCTAGAACACTACAAAAAACTTCACTCTAATCTCTTCCTCACTCTAATGTAACTATTTGTCTCTTCTTCCTCTACAAAAACTATATTCTTGAGAGCAGCATTTATCTTGTTCTTTAATATATTATATATCACCAAAGATGTCCTTGATTGGTTAAAATATGTATTCTTTCTAATTGTATTCATCTTATAAAGTAATTTTCCTTAAAATGTATCATCTATCAATTCTTAAAGTTGCATAGTAAGTAACATTATTTATATAATATGAAAATTTATGAAGAAACATTCAGTTATTGTCAAAGCCAATTTATGTTTTAAGTACTAGTGCTTTTAAAAATCCTATGTGTATTAAAAAATTAGACTGGAGACCTATAATGTGATATGCTATGAAAAATGCATAGCTCACTCTAACAAAAAATACCATGTTAACTATACAAGATTATATACTATAGGGCTGGAGACATGACTCATGGGTTAAGAGCACCTAAAGGTCTTCTAGACATCAATTTCAAGGTTCAATTCCCAGCACCCATATCCCAACTAAGAAGCATCCTTAACTCCACTTCTAAAGGATCTTAGGGCATCTTCTGGCCTCTGTGGGTACTGCACACATATGGTACATAGACATACATACAAGCAAAAGACAGATTACATAAAAGTAAAGAAAAATTGCAAAACATTAACGGCAAATATTATATAATATATAAGGTGATTTATATGAGATTAATAACTTTAATATAAGTAACATAGTTTTATTATATTTACTAACTAAACTATTTTTTCACTTGATATTTTGTCAGAAAATTGCCTATTTTTGCATTTTTATTAATATAAACCATATAAGCTATAATTATTAATTATAACCCATAAGTAGAATCAACTCAGACATTGGCTCTGGCCAATTTTTTGAGAGAAGAAAGACACCAGAATTCTTATTCATTCTTGAAAGGTTGAGGCATTAATGCTGGCCTTTCGTTGTTACCTGAAAGAATCCACTCAGGCAGTACCCTGGTCAGGCCAGGCTTCCATGGGAATTAAGTCTGCATGTAGGTAAAAAGGACCCCTTTAAAAAACAGACCCCCGCCCACTTGCACTCTCTCTTCTCTTACTCTCACTCTCTCTTACCTTCCTGTCTCTCTCTTAACCCTCTCATTCTTACTGTCCATTCCAATTACTCACGCTCTCTCCTCTCTTCCTTTCCGCTCTCCTCTCTCTCCTGTTGTTCTGTTCTCATCTTTCCCCCTCCCCCACCTTTAATAAACCATGGTTAATGTACTATCTAGTTCCTGTTCCATCCTGTTCCTTCCATCTCGCGGTTCTTTTCAAATTTTTTAACTTTTACAAAATAACAACAATCCTCAAAGTATCTTGCTTAAAAAAAGCAGAGATCTCCAACCTCTAAATTTGTTGACCAAGAACTTCTGGATGCAAACTATAATATAGGTCAACCTTTGACAGTTCTATGTTAGAAGATACCTTAAAACCCACTCATGTTCTCTTTCTCAACCCTCTAATATATAAAATCCTGTCATTCCAGAAATAAGCCGATTCGGCCAACGTAGCCAGTTTTCAACTCTGAGAACTGTCAACTCCTGAATTCTTCCTAAGACTGGCATATCCATTCCGCTGTATTACAATATGCTAACTCCTCCATACCACTGGGATCTATGTGTCATACTTATCTGTTGTTTTTCCGGGAATCAGTTTGACAGTATTTAATCTAAGTATAGTTCTTTAGTGTTCAATGTATCCAATTCCAGCTTCCATTAACCGAGTCCCATTTACCCTGTTCATGAGGTTACAGCAAAGTATTTGTCTAATTGAAAGCAGGGAGGCTACAGGGAAATTTAGTGAGCAAACTTCGATTTTATACTTTCTGTTGACAATGGAAAAAGAAAGAAGAAGTGACTTGAATCATTTAAAATGACGTGGCATGGACGACAGAGTTCCTGGCTAGAACTACTAGGGGGAAAATTCTGGACTAGAGTTAGCAATCTGGACTGATTGCATGCTAGAACATTCCTGCTTTATGCCTTTTCTTACCTTAACTTCCACATGTGCCATCAATACTGCAAAATTGGTGAGGTGGTTACAGGAGCATGTAGTATGTGTCTTGTTTGTTGTCAGGAGTCGACAGCCTTGTGTTGACCAATAACCTGTCATTGTGCGCTTGGAATAGCTCCAAAATGAACAATTAGGGTTGAAATTTTCCTCTGACTGCTATGGTAGAAAAAGATCAATAAAGGCAATAACTATTTTACGATCGAGAAAATGAAGTAGGCACTTTCTTTACCCACAGCACAGATTCATGCTATGTTGTATTCCTTATAGAGGTATGTTTAGTATTTTCATATTAAGTGACCCTCATCAATTTGAAATGAAATTGAATACCTGGTATTTGCTCTGTCTGATTAGAAGTGAGATTACTATTTTTCAAAACAGCTGACACCAAAATGATGTTACTAGCAATGCTTCAGAATTATATTGGCTTTTAAATTTCAAAGTAAAGAAGCCAGCTGTTGGAAAACACTTCTAAGAGGATGGTGTTTACATAGCTTATAACATTTACAATTTCCAGATTTGTACATGTACAAAAACACATCTTAAGACACAGACTTGACTGCTTATAATAACATGAAGTGTTGCTGTCCAGTTCAATTTAGTGCATCGCAAGTTGTTTTAAAAACTGTGTGGTGCATTTTACACATCTACACATATTGTTACTAAGTAGAAAAATTAACATATCATTTTGTATATTTTTTTTAAAAAAAGTTTTTTTTTTAAAAAAAGTTTTTTTTAAAAAAAGTTTTATCTTTTCTGACATTTATGAATATTTATAAATCAATCATGAATTTATCTTTAATTATATACTATATGATATATACATATAATATATGCATATAAACAATGTCAGATAATAGACAAATATTAAAAGAAAATTAATATATTTAATATGCATTCTATAACAAAAATTATGTAGAAAATGAAACATAACATGTCATTTTCTTACCTTGATATGTTTAACAGTAAATACCACAGGATCAGCCAAGTAAACTTTATTACTGAACTCCTTATTTATTGCTGCTGTAATAACTGGGGAATTGACGATAACAGAGTGATTTGTAGACATGGCTTCTGTGCCCAACTTCATACTGGCATTCTCCGTAGACAAATAAGGACCCAGGTTGTTATACAGGACAAAGGCTACTCTAATTTCTCCTAAAATAAATACAAATGTGAATTAGAAATTTGAAGAAACTGCTTAGATTCTACACCCAACTAGAGTTTGTAATCCTGACTAGGTGGTTATCAAAGCTGTAAAATATACATTCACAGACATAAAGTCAAGCATTTATTTGCTTGGTACCAAAGGACCAAGTCACTGACAAGGAAAGGGGAGTTGAATTCTGTTGAGGTCATTGTATATCATTTCTTTAAACAATGAATCTTAAACACTGTATAATTGAAGCTTACTTCAAGATGTTTCATAGACCCAGACTGAGAATCCCAGAATCATAAAGGTTCCAGAACAAAATACAAGATAATCTCTTTATATTCTGAAGAAGATAAAATAATGTACACAGACTCAAAACACTATCTATAAAAGGGAAACTGAACTTCATCAAAAATAAATTTTGAACATATTAAAATATATCATCAAGAAAACAAAATGCAAACTATAGACTAGGGAACAATAGGATGAATATACATGTCAGTCAACACTATGATGACAGACTATACCTTAAACTACCCGAAGATATTAATGGACACATTAGGGAAGAATGTAACAAGAACAATTTTATATATGGAAAGATGGTTGGAATTATTAGCAATTAAGGAAACAAAAAGATAAAATTGCATTTGTAATACTATTTTATACCCTATGGATACTAATGTTTATACAGCCTTGGACTTGGACTCTTTTACCCTGCTGATGGGAATATAAAATATTTCAGTGACTTGGAAAGATTTTGACATTTTTTATAAAACTGCATACACATTGACCCTTCCTGGATAAGTGAGAACATTTACCACAAAGAAAACAATTTGCATGAGGCTTTTTACAGAATCTTTATTGATCATAGCCTCTCTCTTGAAAGAAATCAAATAGATGAATAAATATATCACATTAATAGAATACACTATGTATCATTACAGCACAAAATATTAGTGAATGGCAAATCATGACTGAATATCAAAGTGATTTTTTGGATTACTTAATTCAGAAAGAAAATAGCTAACATTGAGAGATTCTGCATATATGAAGTCTATGAACACAGTGATAATAAAGATGTTTCATTAGGAGAAGAACATAGAAGCAAGGAGCAGTGAGAAAAACACCATGGAAATTTATAAATAGGAAACATTTAGTTTCAGGTTATTTTTGCTTTATGTTTTATTTATAGGGTTAAATATAGCTGTCAGATTTCTTAAACTACTCACAGAGTATATAGTTCATTATGTTGAAGTAATATTGCAATGGGATTCTTTTTTTGTTTTGTTTTTCCGGACAAGGTTTCTCTATGTAGCTTTGGCTGTCTGGGAACTCACTGTGTATACCAGGCTGGCCTCGAACTCGCAGAGATCCCCCTCTTTAATGCTGGGATTAAAGTTGTACACCACTGCCCAGCTTGCAATAGATATTTTGTTTGTTTGTAAATAAGGACCCTATTTTTTTATTTGCCTAAGAACTTAATAATCATTTTCTTTTCAGGTCACTATTTCTAGAAAATCATAAAGACCTTCTGCCTTTTCCCCCTATGTGATAATTTCCTAGTTGTAGTAGTTTTTAAAGTAAACTACTTTTTGTTGTTTTTAATGTTTATCATCTCTTTCATGCCAAAAGTAAAACCCTATATCTTATTTCTACTATAAGGTCATTGTTTCCCAAGAAACGAATGCTATTCTGACCACTACAGTTAGAAGATCAGAAAGTGAAAATGCCTTTGAAGCTCAAAGCCAAAACAGAGAAAGAGAGAAAACTGGGTCCCAGAATCAAGCATGGTTGTGTGTGTGTGTGTGTGTGTGTGTGTGTGTGTGTGTGTGTAAGTGTATGGGGGGTGGTTTAAAGAAGTATGATCGTGACTGTCTTATACCTCAGCTATACTTGCATGTTTATGAAATTCCCTAACCTTAGGAATTTATACACACAAATGTACAAAGGCATGTTTTTGCAACTAGCCATGCGAACAAGTTCCTTGGGCACTCCAGTCAAACACATCCAATCTGATGAAATCACAGAGGCCAGAGATCCCATGATGGGGAAGGTAGAGATGCCAGCAGCTACAGCCGCAGGGTTCCTGCACCCAGAGACAATCCAGACATTTTGTGCTATGAGACATGATGCTATTTCAGGGAATCCATTGTCTTTTCAATAATCTAACAAAGAGATCCTAATGAGGACTCCATGAAGGAAGAGAGGGTTCTTAGCTCACCTATATCTCTGAAGACAGAATCCAAAAACTAGATGTTCATTAAAAATTTATCTGTTACAGTAGAGAAACAATTTTCCTTCTAGATTTAGGATAAAATTTATGATGCTTGCTACACTTAGTATTATCCAGGTGTTTTTTTTTTTTGATATTAGTGATTTTTATTGTAATTGGCTCACAGTCAGCTAACAAGTCATAAAATTCCACAAAAGTCTTCAGGGGCAAGCTGTCATCCCACCTGACTTTATCAGATCATGTAGTTTCACATTATTCATATTAGTCACTCCAAAGGGATTTAATGGGACTGAAGATGAAAACATTGCACATTAAGGCAATCAATAAAATAAGCAAGCCACCAGATATGGCCAATGTAGACATATTTATGTCTTCTGTCAGAAAATTTACACAATTATTCAATATCATCTTCATAAATTTATTTGCTGTGCTATGTCTTATTTACAGCACTATGGTTACCAGGGAGAATGACATTAGACATGTCCCCTGCTCTTGAGGAACTTACTACCTTGAAGGAGTAAGACAATAAGCAGACAGTGAAAAAATAAAACCAAAGAAAGAAAGAAAGAAAGAAAGAAAGAAGGAAAAAGAGAGAAAGAACTGCTATGATGCAGTATTTTCATAAGTATGGCTGGTGGGAGAGTTGAGTAACAGTGGTCCACCTTGGAGAAGAATCTCTGTAAAGAATTAAGACCTAGTTTTTTTCTATATTCTTTTTTTCCTTTTTTTATTAGAAAGAAAATTATTTTACATGTCAATCCCAGGTCTCTCTCCCTCCCCTCATCCCCTACCCTCACAACTAATGCCCTACCTACCCTTACTCTTTCTGCTCCCCAGGGAGGGTGAGGCCTTCCATAGAGGGTCTTCAAAGTCTGTCATATCCTTTGGGATAGGACGTACGCCAAGCCCCTTGTGTCTAGGCTCAGGGAGTATCCTTCCATGTGGGATGGACTCCTAAAGTCCATTGCTATGGTAGCGATAAGCACTGATCCACTACAAGAGACCCCATAGATTTCCAAGGTCTCCTCACTGACACCCACATTCAGGGGGTCTGGATCTGTCCCATACTGGTTTCCCAGGTGTCAGTCTGGGGACCAAGAGTTCTCCCTTGTTCAGTTCAGCTGTTTCTTTGGGTGTCACCAGCCTGATATGGACCTCTTTACTCATCAGTCATCCTTATCTCCATCTGGATTTCAAGAACTAAGACTTAGTTTTTAAGAATCAAATGATGGTGCTTAGCTCACCCATCATCAGAGAAGCTTCATGCCACAGCAGATGGGAACAAATACCTAGACCCACCTCTGGACAATATGCAGAGAGTGGGAGACCTTAGAATACTCTCTGGCCCTAAATGGAATGTCTCCGTTAAATCCATCTCCTCTGGGCTCAGGGAACCTCACAGAAGAGGAGGTGGAAAGAGTGTAAGAGCCAGAGAGGATGGAGGACACATAAAGGTCCTCTCAATCAACATGAGCAAAGCTCATATGAACTCATAGATTGAGGCAGCATGAAGAGGGCCTGCATTGGTCTGTACTAGCTGGGGTCCCAGGCATGAAAGGAGAAGTGACAAATGACTCTATCTCTGTGCCAGAAGTTATCTCAAACTGATAACCATGTGCAAATGAAATCTTAGTTTTTCCCAAAGAAGTCTTACTGGGGAAATAAACTACTCTTAAGTGCAGACTACATACGCAGCAATCAGATGGTCAACAGCAAATGATCTCAACAGCATTACTGCAAGTTCCTTGTCTCAAAATTTCATGTCAGAAGCTTTTTGTCATGAATTTCATCTAGTTTTTAAACTTTTATTTCTATATGTTTTCTCTTTTCACATGAGTGGTTCTCTTGTGCCTTTTAACAGGCTCCTATCCCTTCTGTTTGTTTTGTCCTCTTTTTATGTGTTAGTTTTTATTTTATATTATCTGATTTTATTTTATTATCCTTTGAAAGCATACTTTGTTTTTTAATGAGTTACAGAAATGGGGATAGATCTTCATTTGGGGGCATTGAGAGTTAAAGAAAGGGAACCCTTAATCAGAATTATGGGATAGAAGAAGCTATTTTCAAAACAGGGGGCAGGCAGCAAATGAGAGCCTGCAATGAACAGAAATGCCTGCTGCAGAACCACATGTGTTTTGTATGATGAACGTAATTAAAAAACACTTAGCATGGATCACAGGTCAGGCTGGAGGAAAAAAAAAAAGTGAAGTGGGGCAAATCAAACAGGATGTACAAGGCAGGCGTCCTGCAGGCCTCCTTCAGTAACGTGGATTCATTCCAAGTGTGACTGGAAGTGAGCTGGGGGGATTTCTGCCTGGGATGGACACCTTCTCAGTGGGACATACTGTTGGGGGAGAGCAGGAGTTGCTGAACAATCTCACTGCTGTTGCAAACATTTCCTTAGTCCAGGTGGCAGCACAATAATGATTTATAGGTTAGCTCATAAATGATTCATAATGCCTTGACAACATTATATTCTGATGACAGAAAATTGAAACCGTTGATAATATTAAGAGGGGAATCTTTTGCAGAGCTATTTTCTCTATATGAAGCAGCAGTTCTGAATGGGTTACCACAACCTCAAATCATCTCCACATCACTTAAAGGCTCAAGGGTTTTCCTGCCTTGGTGAGAAATCAATTTTTCTAAAGATTTGTGAAGCTATGAATATGCTTTTTCCATGAGGATACCTATATTTTCTATTTGTTTTTCTTTTAGTGAATTGGATTTAGTAGTTCCTTAAGCTGACCAGCATATCCTAGTCCCATGCCCTGAAAGCCTTCCTATAAGGGCTAAGTATAAGTTAACTGTTCTTTTTTGTTTGTTTGTTTGTTTGTTTTGTTGTTGTTGTTTTGTTTTGTTTTTTGAGGTAAGGTTTCTCTATGGCTTTGGAGGCTGTCCTGGAACTAGCTCTTGTAGACCAGGCTGGTCTCAATTTACAGAGATCCACCTGCCTCTGCTTTCCGTGTGTTGGGATTAAAGGTGTGCACTACCACTGCCTGGCCTAACTTTTCTGTAAATTTTACAAAAGAAAAGTACACTTATGAAAACCCAGAGAAAACACAGAAGCTTATACCTTTAAACAACTACAAGGAAAACCACCACCAAAATTTTTATCACATAAATCTGCAAACTCAATGACAGTTACTACTGGACGGGAAGGACGTGGCAGAATATTTGAGTTTTGGGGTTCAGAATTTTACTCATGTTCAAGTTTCTGAAAATCAAGCAGTGATAGAATCTAACAGAGAATTTTACACACTGTATCATTGTTATATTGGTGGCCCAGCAGGTGTGAGGAAGAGGAAAATGCTGAGAAACATGATGCTGCGCAGAAAGGAGTAAAGAACTCCTACAAGATGGATTTAAAACTCCAAGCCACAAAGCAAACGAATGGCTAAAAATTCACCAGCACGTAGCACAAAAAACAAACACCGACTTACCATTCCGGCCATTTTGCTTTAAAGTGTTTGCTGACAGCTGGATAGTACTGCCGTGGCCCATGTTTTCTGGAAATTTCAGATCTTCTAGGTTTCCTTCTGTGCTCAGCCTTGCAACTTCTAATTCTGTACATAACATAGAGGTGTCATTGTTCTGTGAGAAATCGGCAAAGTTACAAGAGTTTCCTTCACCACTAAACTCTTTCTGATTTCTCATGTTAGACATGTTCAATTTGTACGAAAGTCTATGGTTAGTGTTTTCATTTGATTGACAAAATAAAATGAGTAAAGATGCGCAGAAACCACACAAAAATTTCAAATGCACAATAATTAAGCCGAATCCTTAAAATCAAAATCCATGCCTTTGTATTTTGTCTTCCCTTTTAAGTTAATTTTAAAAATATTATCCATATTCCACGAATTGTGTAAAAAAAAAAAAAAAAACTCCTTTTGTACCTCAGAGATGTACTGTCACATCAGTATTGATCTGTCTACAAACCTAATAAAATCTGAAACAGCTTTATCAAATCTCCTGAAATAAAATTGTCAGCTACATCTGAAAACACAATAAAAACATATTTATACTTATAGGAAGGGATAAGACAATTTCCAAACATTAACATAATCACTGAAGTGACTTTTTTCTTATAGGACATAACTCAAGACAGGTCATCCTCACATTAGGAGGTCAAAAGGGTAAACAGTATAAAATCTATATAAATACACGTCTACATAAAAATTCTACTAAGAAACCTCACTGGTGTGCTCTCAAGGTAACATCCCTAACAAATGCCCTAAGGAAGTTAACATGCATGAATTCTGATCTTGTTAAACTGAAAGCTATTTGAGAAGTAGAATACTATCTATCCACCAAACCAAAGCACTGCCCATGACTAGGGCACCACTTTTTTTTCCTTTTCCTGCTAGGCAAGTGACTCTAGACCTTCTATCTTAACAAAGGTCACTTACGAATATTGTCTGTATTTTCCCTGACAATGTCAGTCTTCAAAAGGTTATCAGCTAACACGAAAGCACTCTCCTCCACAGTGTCAAGCAACATGGTGGCTGCACGTAGTTGATCACTTGTAGTCAGGTCTCTCCATGCATTCAAAGCTTGTGGCTGAAGGAGGTTGTTAACTGTCTCGACCATTGCCTATGAGGGGATGAACAGAATGGCAGAAGTCTCCAGTGAACCCATATAGCTGTCAGACATCCAGGTGTACATGTTGCCCAGCAAGCAAGGAGCAGCAGTGTGCATAAGATCACTATTGTCCCAGCCTCCCTTGTGACAAGCTACAGCAGAAGCTTTCATTATTTTTCTATGAATCCCTCACTGAGACTTTACAAGCCCATAGTTGTCTTCTTTTGAAGGGCAACAAACAGCCACGCTTGCTTCTTAGAATCAACAACAGAGGCTTCTGTAAGACTATTATCACATAATGAAATTGATTTGGCTGAGCAACTAGTGGCACCTAATTTAAACCAACAAGTTTGTATGCTTTACAGAAAATGGTTTTGTTCTGCCCATCTACATAGACCTGATGCTGACCACAGAAGAAAGTGAAAAGATGACATAGATAAGATGTGGCAGGGATTTGCAGTCTATAGTTCAGGGACTCAGGAAGCAGACACTTATTTTTCCTTTTACTTCTTTTCACCTCATCCTCTACCCCCAGCCAGGTACAAAAATTTCAGGATGGGGAAAGTATCAAAGCATTCACAATGACAGATACCCGGAGTATGTTGTGTGGTGTGAAACCTTAACACTGTTTACCATTCACAAAGGGTAAACAGTTGGACATCACTACCTATGGCCCTGAGGTGTTTCTGCTTTCTTTATACAGCCAGCAGTATGTACATCCACACATAGAGACAAGGCACCGCATTTCTCATTGCTGCATCCAGAGGAATAATTTCTGTAGCTACCATTTACATATTCCCTGTGGTTTCAATTATGTGGTGGGTTACAAAGAGAAAAAAGTTCTCCAAGTAAGGTCTTGGGTTTCATTCAAACAGAGAAAACAGCAAAACAGAAAAATACAACACCTGCAGCTTGAAAGTAATCATCCCTCAACCCATTCATTATTAAGTATGCCTCCAATGCAGATGACACCATGAAGAAAGAGTCAACAGACACAGTCTCTAGACACCACATGAGTGCTTTAAAGCAGGATACACCTTATTGACACACTGGCAAAGGGACTGTGTGAGATGGGAGACAGAGCCTCCACACCGTGGTGGTTTCTTCTGGCTGGTGTTTTCATAGTAACCAAGTCGCAACTGTTAAACATTCAGCTCCATAATGAAACACCTTGGGTGCCAATTAACACCAGCTTCAAAAACTAATTTTGCCTCTTAATAAAGTTTTTCTTGATATTTTCCAAGCTACCCCAACTTCTGGCCAACACAACATCATTAGACTTTCAAGTAAGATAGTCTTAGCATTTTTGTAGTTTGCACTGTTACACACACACACACACACACACACACACACACACACATACACACACACACACACACAAGCACACACATTCACAAACCACCAAAATGACTTTTTTTCCTGATAATTTAAAAATTAAGTACACATTTACTTTGTGTGCTTAGCTCAGTGATTCTTTCTAGGTTTGAAGTATGATCTGATAGTCACACAAAAGCATTTCCAGACCACAATAGCATTAGCTGCTTACCAGGAAGTTGTCTGTGGTAATAATGTCAACAGGATAGGCTAGAAAACAGGCACCAAGAGATAAAAGAAGTAAAAAGTTGTAGGTATCTTCTGAAGGCAAACAGAGAATATGGACCTTCTGAGTGCAAGAAACTTTCATTCTCAGATCAGATGATCTCCAGAATTCATTACCAATAGTCTGAAAGATTGCTCAAGCAACTGAAAGTATCCCTTGCCTTGAAAGTGGTATGGACATTTTATCTGTTACTGATCTTAGTAATTAGGAAATGATCTGATGTTGATTATTTTAATCTTACCTCAAGGGATGGATTCTCCCCTTTGTTGTTTTTAGTTATTCAATTTAAAAATTGCTAAATGGTAAAAGGTTCTCACAATGAACTCCAAAAATTTTCTAAATATGTTTCAAGATTGAGTGATGAAACAAAGAGAGTGAATAGATGAGAAAAGAGGAGTATAGACAAGGAATCAGTAATCAAAACCTCCCAACAATGCCAGACCCAAGAACAGATGGCTTCACTAGTGAATTCAACCAGATATTTAAAGAATTAATATCAATTCTTCTCAAGCTGTTCCAAAAAGTTCAAGAAGAGGGAACGCTTCCAAATACATTTTATGAGTGGGCATTACTATTCTGTCACAAAAGCCTGACACAAGCACCACAGACAATAAAACTACCAGTCATATCCCTGATGAATGTTGGTGCATAATTCTTCAACAAAAGGCCAGCAAACCAAATTCAATAGCACATTAGGAGAACCATATATTATGACCAAATGTAATTTATTTCTGAGATGAAAAGATAGTTCAACACATAAAATAAATTGATGTGATGTACTCCCTTAGCAGAATAGAGCATAATGTCACCTGATTATCTCAATAGTTGAAGAAAAAGCATTTAACACAATTCAGCACTTTCCATGATTAAAAGCCACTGACAAACCAATAATAGAAGGAAATTATCTCAACATAACAAAGACAATATATGAAAAGTCCTCCACTAACATTTCACGCAACACCATAAATTTGGAATATTGCTTTTTTAAGATCAAGCCTAAAGCAAAGATACAGGCTGTTCTATCCAACATAAATATTTGAGACCATAGTCAGAGCAATTAGACAAGAAAAAGGAAATACACACTATCTAAATTGGGAGAAGTAAAATTATAGCTTATTAGAGATTATAAGAATATATAGGAGTTCAAGAGACTCTTTAAAAAAATCAACAACAATGACATAAAAATTGTGAGAAACAATCTCAAGAGCCTGTGTACAGGAATGCTTTACCTAAAAACCCAGCCTTTTAATTAATATCAATTACTGCTCAGTGATCTTGGTTTTAAAGCCAAAGACCTATAAGATGAATTTTTTGATAAGAACAAATTTTGAATATGTTTCAGCAATCTTACCTTCTCATGAACTGTGTAGTCTTTAGAGAAGTATTCAATTAAATTTTAAGCATCATAAACAATTTTCAAATTTTCTAAAGAACAAAGCAAAAATATTTCTTATGAGTTACAAAAACAAAAACCACTTTATGGGGCTGGAGAGATGGCTCAGGGGTTAAGAGCACTGACTGTTGTTTCAGAGGTTCTGAGTTCAATTCCCAGCAACCACATAGTGGTTCACAACTATCTGTAATGTGATCTGGTGCCCTCTTCAGGCATGCACTGTATACAAAAAAACACTTTTAAGAATTACTTAGTTTGTCTTAAAAAAAAAACAAAAAAAACAAAAAAAAAAAACACCTGTTTGTGTGCCTGTCAACAGCTAGGTACAGATGAAGAAAGGGCTTATTAGGCCCAAGCATTTACTAATGAATGTTTTGGAACAGGGTGATTCAAGAACAGTTAAGTCATTGCTTCATTTGTGTACACAAAGGCTCTAATAGACTGTTTTCAATCCATGGTCACAGAGTTGGCCCTGGTTAACCTTCTGTGCTTCACACAACAAACCCAAAAGCCATGAATTTTCAGAAGGGAATGTTAAGGATGAACCAAGGTTGATACAGATGACAGGGAAATACCAGAGGTTGGGGAAGAAGGTAAGCAAGATATATCAATGTGTGTGTGTGTGTGTGTGTGTGTGTGTGTGTGTGTGTGTGCAATTGTTAAAATTAAAAAAAAAAAAAAAACAAGTAAATCAATGATTGCAAGGAAGCATTAGCACAAAGACTCATGGTGTCTCCTTGTAGATTGTATCAGAGTAGGAAGTTTGAAACCATATGCTAACACTGGACCAAGGAAGTAACTTCTTGGACCTTATTACAGAACATTATAGCTTAATCTTATATTTACTTTCATTTGCTACCATATTGAAAATGAAGGGGAAATGAGTCTCCACTGTGTAAGTACAATCCAGACCAATCCTTCATTTGCTGTAACAGCCACATCAGTGACATGTGGAAGGAATACGTCTTCTACAAAGTAGTAATAATTTACCCTCTTATATAACAACTCCTCTACAGTATATGACTTGATGATTTCAGGAGCAAGAGAGTAGTGACTGATGAAAACATGGAGAAGAAAGTGCAGAGAGGCGTGAACATGTGGAATCTTTTCCTGCTGGTGAAACAGCACAATGAGGTCCACTATAGCAAACACTGGCTAAATTTTCTACACGTTGATGAACTACTTGTTGCCACCTAAATAAAAGTCAATTAAATAGCCAAAATTCAGTCCTGATATAAATATATCTATTTGATTTTCCTAAAATATTTATGATTTTATTATAAATGATAATATCTAATCACAGGTTGACTTTGTTGTTTCTAAAACCAGGTTGATTATACTTTTTAGTTGCCATGGAATTAAGCTGATATGTACTTTAACCATAAATTAAATGATAAATATACATTAGCTTTCTTTAAACTTAGAGCAGATTCTTGGACTTCAAAGTTGCAAAATCAGTACTGACCTTCTATTTGCATCATTTTACAGGAATTTTTATTCACAATTTTCAGTGCTCGAAGGGGAAAATTACCTGACTGTATTATAAAAACTTTAATAATAAACACTGACCTTGCCAGAAACCAAATATAAAGTAATTTCTAGTTTTCCAAGTATTTTAACTAGAATAGGAGATGAGCATTAGAAAATTTCATTCTATTCTGCCACTAAATTTCATTGGACCTGAGGATAAATTATATTTTGTATCAAGTTAATGAAATAAATTACTTATGAAGGTAAGTCTCATTATATTTTAGTTTGGGGAAAAACAATGATAAATATTCCCCATCACACTGTATAGTTGTTCCAATAGACTCTGTAGACATTTGGCCATTTCTACACAATCAAGTATAAATGAAACAATTCACATGTTATTTTGTGATATGTGTATCATGAACAGGTTATTTCCATACATATGTTAACATTAGACAGCATATTTTGAACTCTTTTCATTTAATTTAGACCTTAGACATATTCATTTGACCATTTTTAATCATGGTACATAATTGTGGTACATTGTTA